CTTAGTGAGATGCTGTATCAAAATGCAATAAAAAGGGCTGAGGGACATGGCTCAGAGGTAAAGCAACCTGGGGCTTCACTCAGTACCCAAAAGGGGACATGGGTGGTACGCACCTCTTCCCAGTAACAGGCTGCCTACACAGAATTCCTTACTGGGTGAAATTTCTTTTCATGTAATGTACACAGACAGCATCCCAGATGCCTCAGGTTTGTGTTGTGACAGCAATGGACAAAGTCTGCTAAAATGTGCCTGATCAGAGACTTGTTAAGTCAACAGCACATCATCCTTTCCACTCGATGGTGGAGGAAGCTGTACCATGTAAGAGTGTGAGGTGACTCAAGTGTTAGAAGGGGAAATCATGGTGCCCCAGAGGGTGAGTTGTGTTCATGTAGATGGAGACCAGGCATGAGAAAAAACTCTCTCTCTCTCTCTCTCTCTCTCTCTCTCTCCCCCCTTCATTCTCTCTCTCTATTACACACACACACAAACACACAGACACACACACACACAAACACACATACACATACATACACATAAAGTCCTGGGAATTGTGTGTAAGACCCTGAGGCTTGATGGTCTTCTGAAGAAGCCAGAACTGCAGCGGACAGAAGAGGGTGGAACCCAAATCAATGTTCTGTTGTGACTTGTTAATGATTTTTTCTGCTGAGTGAAGCCAAGACAATATTTATAATGGCAGCCAACAGTGAGATTTGGCAGCTTTCCTTTTCTAGAAAATCCTAATGACTTTGGAGAGGAGCCTGGTCAACAGCAGGGAAGTGGGAAAGACCCTCTGTGGGTGTGCCATGGGGGAGAGGTGAGTGTGAACTCCTCCTGGGCAGAGTGCAGAGGATTAGCAAGAGATAAGTGGGGCCTACAGTAGAAGCCTGTTAGGGAGAGGATCAAGGGCCAAGGACAGCCCAGGCATCCTGCCAACCTTGCCTAACTTCTGATGAGAGCCTGGATGCTGCCTGTAGGCTCAGAGCCTCTTCACCTTTGCCCTAATGGCCATGCCATACCCTTTTTTAGTTCAGGTGCATAAAGTGACAGGAGCCCAGTGACATCCTAGATCCCCTTTAGGACACAGTGCCTGGGGCCTTCTGTATTTCTCCCAAAGACAAGTAACCTTGCCTGGAGCCCCTTTGAGAGGGCCAGGTCACCCTCTGGCCAAAGACATGACCTAGAGCCAAATGGCAGCAGGAAGGTGTTCCTAAGTGGCTGTTCTTCCCATTGGCAGCTGGAGCTCCAGCACAGCCAGCACTCAGTGTCCTGAATGCCCGTCCAGAGACAGGGAAGTGGGCCCTGCTCTTCTGGGTTCCTCAGTCTCCCCTCATACCCTGCCTTCTCCTTGGTGCTGGTGACATCAGAAATTCTGACCCTGTCTTCACTTCAAGGGAGACACCCTGGGCATTTGGGGGAGCCCAGTGTGGCTGTACATTCCCCTCTGTCCTCTCCCATTTTTACAAGCTCCCCCCCTCCCTGGTGCCTACCCTCCTGTAGCCTCAGTCTCCTCCTCTGCACACTTTGGCTGATGGGACTCCAGACTGGGTCCCGCCAACCCCCACACTGGAGCGTCACTCTGGACTTGGAGGAGGAGCAGCAGGACCCCTCAGGTCACAATGCCCATGAAGTCTGTAGAGACACATGGTCGGCTCCCAGGGCTGTTTCTGTGTTGTTGTGGTGGCTCTGTTTCAGATGTCTACACAGAAAAGGACCTGGGCCCAGGTAAAGTTTGGACCCTACAGGGAGGAGGCACAGCAATGAGTGATATCCTACAAGCTGGCCATTCTGGGAGAGCTACTCTTAACAGGCAGAGTTCCCAGAACCAGTGGGTACTGGGCAGGACAAGGCTGTGCCCCTCTGAGCTGCTCTGAGATCTCAGGACCCACTCCTCACCCCTAGAGTCACTAGTTTACTATCCCAGCAGCCACTGGCTCTTCTATTCTACTTTTGTTGCATTGTGACCAAAAGACATGACAAGAACAACATAGAAAAGGAAAAGCTCATGGTTTAGAGAGCTCATCCAAAGACAGCAGGTCCATTGCTTAGGTCTTGAGGAGAGGCTGAATTTCATGGTGGATGGGTGCAGTGGAGGAGAGCTGCACAAGACATCATACCAGGAAGCAGAGAGAGGGAGCTCCACTCAACAAAGACAAAATGCATACCCCCAGGACCGCCCCCAGAGACCCACCTCCTCCAGCTCCACCCTCCAGGGCTACAGTTACCATCAGTGAACCCTCATCAGGGGATTAATCAATGATTGGTTAAGGCTCTCATAACCCAATCATGTCACCTCCAAACTTTCTGGAATTGTCTCACACATGAGCTTTGGGGTCACCTCCTCTCTAAACCATAACACTGGCCCATGAGGGTGTTGGGGTGGAGAGGAGGGAGCAGTGGGCTGTAATTAGAGGTGCCAGGAGGGCTTCTCTGAGGGGACACAAAATGAAGATCCCCAACAGGTGAGAAATGATGACCTTGGGAGTGAAGGGGACTGCCTGAGCAAACTGGGCAGTGTGACTGTGCCCTTGGTACTGGGAAGTCCTTCTTCCCCTCAGCATTCATAGTTTCCTGAGTTCCCTCCAAGGTCCTTGTAGTCCTGGTCTGAGGGTCTGTGTAAACCTGTCCCTATTCAGTCCTGGCTGCTCTGTTGAAATACACTGGTGACTGCAACTGTGACACTTCTTAAGAACCAACCCCCATCCTCTTGCTCTACCCTTACCCTGTGGCTTCCCCTGAGGACAGCTCCCTCTGAGGTTGAGTTTACTGTTATTTATGCACCTGACAAACATTCTGAGCACTTTCTGGTTCTAGCACGGTGGACCTGGAGGGCTCTCTTGGGCATCTGGGGCCGCTGGGGAGACAGACCCATAACCAGGAGATGTCAAATCTTCTCGAATCCTGCAAGGACATAGGGAATAYAGCAGGAGACAGGAGTGCCTGCTCTGCCTGACTTCCGGAGGAAGGGGTGGGGGCTCCACCTCAGATGACCTTCAGTACCTTCTCCTAACAGGCCTTGGCTTCTTCATTCTAGCCTGGGTTCGTTCCTACACCCCAGGATAGCAAGTGTCTTTATTGGTGCATTTCAAGGAGTGACAATATTCCCAGGTGGCTGTGTCCTTGGCTTCTCCTTGACTTCTACCTAAAGAGCAAGGTCTGTTGTTGATTCAAAGTTTTCCATCAATGCACTGTGGTCCAAGCCACTGTCCCAGCTCCCATCCAGGCAGATGCTCTCTCTGTATTCTCCTGACCTAGTTCATAGCTGGGGCTGTGGAGGTTGAGATATTCTAGCTCCTCCTGGTTCATAGCCATGTTATAAACTCCTTTATGTCAACTGAAAAACACAGTGCTCCTTCCTAATCTGGAAGTTACTATCTACCTCTTGGTGAAGATYGCCAAACTAATAGTAAAAATGTGGAATGAAGAAGGATCCTCAGAGCATTAAGACATGGTGGGGATGAAGTGGAAAACTGTGCTGTGATTGTGTCAGTGTGGGGTTCACAGAGTCTACAGATCCACAGAGAATAAGAGGCAACTTCAGAAGACAGGACCCTGAGGACCCCATCTGGCTCTCCAGGATGCACCCAGAGGGCTCAGGCTCTAGAAGCCAGTGGAAAAGCCCAGTCCTGCTTCTCATAAGGATGGGGCCAGTCACCTCCTTGGGACAGAAATAGACGAGTATGGGTGTAGATTGAAATGTTAATAATGGATGACATTTAATCTCCAGGTGGCTCAGGGATATGGAACTTTTGTTTTGTTTATATCTTAGGTGGATTAGATGTGGGAACTTTAAGTGTTTGGCCTGAAAGTTTGTGTGCTGCAAATTCATTCAGTGAAAGCGAGTCTCCATGGGCTGGGGATAGAGCTTAGTTGGTAGAGTGCTTGCCTAGCCTGCACTAGTGTATTAAGTTTTAATGCACTAAGCTCATCCCCAACAACACACACACACACACACACACACACACAAACACACACACACAAACACAAAATGCATAGCTAATAAAATCAGTCTACTACTTGGGCTTTGAGAAAGAAAGAAAGAAAGAAAGAAAGAAAGAAAGAAAGAAAGAAAGAAAGAAAGAAAGAAAGAAAGCCAGTCTGAATGTAATGAATCATTGGGAGGGGACTGTGTTTAGGAACTGTAAAATAGGACCAGAAGCATTTGTTTGCCCTTCTGCCAAGTGAGGACTGGTGGGAAGGGGTCATCTAGAAACCAAAGCAAGACCTCCCCAGACAACAAATCAGCTACCATCTTGATTCTTGGCTTGTCACCTCCTACACAGAAGACAACACATTTGCATTGTTTATGAGATACCCAGTTTATTGTGTTTATTTGTTGATATTTAGGTGGTAGCACTGTGATCAAACCCAGGACCTTGTGCATGCTTGGCAAGTACTCGACCACTGAGCTACTCTTCCAGGAGTTGTTAGTTTATTTTACCCTCAGGTCTCCACAGGTGGCCAGCCTGGGCTGCATAGGTAATTCTTTTCCCTCAGCCTCCTGAGTGGCTTGGGTTATGGGCATGTGCCATCATACTGAGCTAGGGTATTATTGGAGTTGTTGTTGTTGTTGCTGTTGCTGTTGTTGTCGCAGCAGCCTGATGGAGTAAAAACCTGGGGCTTTTCTGTGGAGGTCCCACTGGTATGAGAACATGGATACTTGCTGAGAGTGGGCAAGAGGTTCAGAAAAGTACCAGCACCACTTCCTAAAACTTCTCTGTCAGCATGGGGGGTGTGGCAACTGGGAAGACGGCATAGATGGGGTTGTAGGGAAGGAGAGGGGAGGAAGATAGGGAGGGACTCAGACACAGTGGGGTGAGGAGGAAGGTGGACATGCATTGGGAATTACTGAGTGTGTCTAAATAGAGAGCACCCATGGTGGAATGTATGGACAAATAGCTATGTGAATGAGTGGGTCAACCCTGGTTCTGGGGTGGGTATGTATGGGCACCACAGGAAGACCCCATCACACCTAGCACACCCCTCTCTTCCTGACAAGGAAGCTAGTGTTTTGTAATCTTGTCCTCAGCCTCCTTTAGCTCCTGGATCTTTTGAGGCAGGGTCTTGGTCCAGAACTGCAGCCTGTGTGCCTTCAGGGCCTGGCCCACAGCAGGCTGAATGTCCAGCTGCAGGTACTGCTGGTCCTGGTCGAACAGTGGCCAGTGAGGTAGGTCCTCTCCGTTGGGGTTCCTGTGCACATGCCCTCCCAGAAGGGCAGGGCAAGGGTCAATCTGATATCCTTTGAACTCAGACCTGAACTTCCACCCCAAGTATAAACAGGGCAGGCAGCCATGCACACAGGGGTTTTGAGAATGGGAAGAGGTGTCCTGATGTAGGAAAGCAATGAACTCTCACTAGTGTCATTCCACACAGGGCAGAGCAACCTGGCCTGCGTTGCCTTTCCCTGTGAGAGGCTGGGTCCCATGGTAGCCCAGCACTATGGCTCACCCTCTGGACCACTGTACCCACAGAGACCAGTGACCTGTACCCCAAAAGCATCCTCTTTTGGTGTGGGTCATTCTGTTGGGTAGGGGGCTAGGATGTGATGAAGGACACACAATAGCTAATGGGGTCACCTCAGACAAGGGGAGCAGTGGAGGGCCCGTGCCCCCTAGGAGGCTGAAAGGCTCAGGTGTCCTCACCCATTTCGAGCAAAGTTGGCCCAGTACTTCATCATCTTCCTGCTAAGTAGCTCCTCCTCCTCAGTGAGCACAACTGTGGGAGGAGGAAGGCAAGGGTCCAGGTCCTGGCCAACCCCATCCAGCTGTCCACTCCTGTGCCACACTCACCACCCCAGACCCAGGCTTGTGTCCCTTTCCTATCAAAGAGTCCTGGGGCCAGGCCCTCTGCTTGCCCAACCTGCCTTTACTCCTCCCAGCCTTTAACTGAATCAACACTGGGCTCCTCCTTGGCCTAGAAGTTTCCTTATTTGGACACTGTGAAGTCATTTAAGAAATGAATGGCTTTTACCCAAAACCTTCTTCTCCTATGCTAGACACCATGTTTGGGGTGGGAATAGGTAGAAAGGAGTGTAAATTAGAGTGGCAAAGTTCTAACCCTGGAATGACCCATTGAGTTGTAAGATGCTAGACACTGGATCCCATGTTCTCTCATGTAACATGAGTGTGATGTCTATCTCTTACTCTAGCCATAAGGATTTACTGAGATGAGGGACTTCAGGTACCTGGGAACAGGGTCTGGATAAAGACATGTGTCGGGACCTGACACCAGACCTCACCTGGGACCCACAGCTCTGAGCTGTCTCCTAGGAAGTCAGGATTCAGGTTAAGATACACTCACTCTGATCAAGTGCTACTTGGAGTGCAGGCATCACAAACATGAAGTCTGCCATCATCTCCTGGAACTGGAGTCGCAGGGTGTGGGAGTCCTCGTTGTCTCCCATGTACTCCTCCATCAATAGGTCAGCACATTCGGCAGGCAACTTCAGGTGACCAGGGAGAGTCAGGTTAGGCAATCTCTGGGTCAGGGAGGCAAGATCTAAAGGGTAGGGATTGGTGTTTGGGATGTGTCTGGGAATAGGGCAAATGTGTCAAGTTGTGCTGCCCCACCACAAATGCACATAGATCTATCTTGTTCCTGGGGATTACTGAAAAGGAAGAGTGTCTGGCTGCACTCTGCCTGGTGCAGGACTCCAGAAGTTTCACCATCTGTGCTGATGTTCTGTGAAGAATAGCTCGCACAGTCTCTCTGTCTACGTCTTTCTGGATTTCAGGTGGGCCCAAGACCTGTGTTATGAAATGATAGTCTAGAGTTGGGGATGGGATATCTAGGAGGTACGAAGTCTAAAGCTGCTCCCCCCTGACACTATCATGAGGGTTTGTAGAGGGGTCTCACCATGGGAAGGAGCCAGCCATACTCATCATTGTTGACACCAATGATGCTCGGAACAGGTTGAAAATCAGCAGAGGCCAGAAGCTCCTGGAGGTGCCTGGGTAGGAAGGCCCCATCCACCATAGCAGGAATCATCTTGAAGGGCTAAGGGGGCACTCAAAGTCCATGATTATGGGAAGAAAAGTCTCTTTTCTAATGACACCAAAGTTACCTCCAACCCATCCTAACTAACCCATGATGCATTCATAGATTCTATACCTGGTTCAGCATATTTTCATCTCAATTCCCTTCCAGAACTCTGAGGATATAAGAAGACCAAGCCCTGGAAATGAGATCCTTGTTCCACAGTAGAAAGCACTGTATTTTCCTTACACCATAACCCACGTCTCCTCACTAACGTCCATTCAGTCCTACCTTGGTAATAGCCAGCATTTCCTGTTCACTCTTGCCCCGCAGGCAGCTCACCAGGGCCTCTGACTCTACTTGCCCACAGGCAGACAGGTTGGCCACAATCTGTAAAGAAAGGGCAGTATTGCCTAAATCTCAGCTCTGTGCAGGTTGCCCTTAATTATGAAAGTGTACCCTGTTATACTGCTGCAGGTGTGAAATTCTTCCATCTTCCCTGAAGCTCAGGTGTCAGCCAGAGGAGCCATCACACTGGTTTATATGGGTCTTCTGAGGATAAGGACCCYTGGGTGCAGCTTTGCAGAACACAGAGTAAAATCAACACTTGAGGCAGAGGTGTGTGGATTCTGACCTTTGAGCTCCTCTGAAACCCTGGGGTGGTGTCCAGTCTCAAAGACACCTGCATGGTCTTTGTTACCATGGAACAGACAGAGTGGCAGAGGCTCTGAAGGTGATGGGTGAGTCTGCAGATTTGGCTGTGGGCAGTAAAGGATACTCACTGTGGAGACATCTTTAGATGAGCTGGTGATGAGGCCAGGCAGCAGGGCCACCCCACTCTCCATGATGGCACCATGGAAGAGTCCTTGGGACAGTGGAGACACCACAAGTGAGGACACACTAGTGCCACCTGCAGACTCGCCAAAAACGGTGACTCGATCAGGGTTGCCTCCAAAGTGGGCGATATTCTGCTGGACCCAGCGTAGGGCGGCCACTTGGTCCAGGTAGCCCCAGTTGCCAGTGGCATGCTGGTCTCCAGTGCTGAGAGATACAAAGGATGATGATCAATAGATAGTCCTCTGTCAACTCAGTCCCCATCCATCATCCCTGTCCCAGGCTCACCTGAAAAAGCCCAGAACTCCCAGGCGGTACTGAATACTGACCACCAGTACATTTTCAATGGCTGCCAGAAGAGAACCATCAAACATGGAAGCTGAGCCCATCACCAAGCCACCACCATGGATCCAGACCATCACCTGGGAAATCAGGAGATATACCATGTGGTGGCTATCCTGCCCAGTTCCATGCTGGGTGAAGCCCTACTCTGAACACCACTTTGGCTTGTGTAGCTACCCACACAGAATGCTAGTAGGACCTCATGACCTAGGGCACTGGTGACAGAGTAAGTTCAATTTGGAAGATCAGGCCTCTCATACTTTTGGAGTCTAACCAGGAGGCAGAATGTGGATCTCTTCCTCTCAGAACTAGTATAAAAAGAAAAGAAAATTGATGTCTGTGATTATCCCACTTAAACATTAATTTAAAGTGTCATCTATTCTCTGGTCCCAAAAATAATACATGTTCATGGAATTTAGTGATCTCAAAGTGCAGCATTTGTGCACTTGAATGGATCTCCTGAGTACAAGCTGGTGAGTTGATCATTGGCTTAGAATACCTGGCCTCTGAGAGCATCCAGGGCTCTTGGACTACATGCGTAGGTCAGCTTTCTGCCTGCATAAGAGGCATTCTTGGAGCTGATAGTGAGAAACTTTTCATGGTAATTCACTCCACAGTGGTGACCAGCTGAATCTGTGTCTTCCAGTGTCGTTGATATTGTTATATATTACTTGGGGTCAATCCCAGGGCTTCACAGCATTGTGCTAGCTCTCTACCTTGAACCATGTCCCAAGCCCGCTTCTAATGTTCTCCCCAAAATGTTCTCCCACCCTTCAACTGACCGTGACTTAACACTCACAGGCAGGTTTGAGCCCTCACGGGCATGTGCAGGCACATAGATGCTGAGGTACAGGCAGTCCTCTGACATGGGGATGGGAGGCAAGTTTATACTCCCTAGGTTCAGAGCCTCTAGATTCAATGCATCTGCATTTTGCAGACACCTGGTGACAATGGAATACAGTTATTTCAGGGGCTGAGCAGTGGTCAATCCAGACCTCAGGTCCTGACTAGATCCCAGACAACCTTACTCCCTGCCTTAACTGATGCCTTGCCTCACATGATCCTTCTTTCAAGTCATTCTCCACTGAGTTCCAGGCAACAGGCTTTGGGTAAGCAGGGATGGATTCCTGACCCCCAGGGAGGCCTCAAGATTGTGGAGCACTTGATTCCACCTCCTTCTGAGGCTAGCCAATCCTGACTCTAGGGTCCTGTCAGGGAAACTATGGCTGCCTGTGTTGACATTCACCACTTATCCCTGTCCCCATTCAGGCCTGGAACAGCATAGGTGTCCCCACACAGCTGATGCCTGAGTGGATGGAAGGTAGTTTCTCACAGAAGGGTAATGGGACATCCCACAGCCCAACTTAGCCTCTGAGAAAACCTGACCCCTTCACTGAGTCTCCAGCTGTAAGCACATGCCCCTTTCCCTTGGCCCTGTGGGTGGGGTTCCCAAGGAGCCACCATTGTTGCCCTCCTAGGGATCTTCAGCATGGACTGCTGGAGTCAAGGTCTTTTATAGGTTCAGAGAGCCAAGCCGACCCTCTCCCAGACACATCTCCCCTGGTGGAGAGTGTTGAGAGCCACAGCCAAAGGGGCCCCAACAAACTTCCCGCTGCCAGCAAACTTCCAGCTGCCGGCTGATGATTGKCTCACAATGGCCCCAGCAACATCTAGCTGATTGGCTCCTCTGCGGTGATGTTCATTGGGCTGTTTCCCTGCCCTTCAGACTACGGAACTGCTCATTGGGGGACTTC